TGAGAGGGACCTCGGAGTCCTAGTAGACAATCACCTAAATATGAGCCAGCATTGTGCTGCAGCTGCCAAAAAGGCCAACACAGTGCTAGGCTGCATTAACAGAGGGATAGAATCAAGATCACGTGAAGTGTTAATACCATCTTCAATGCCTTGGTAAGGCCACACTTGGAATACTGCATCCAGTTTTGGTCACCACGATGTAAAAAAGATGTTGAGACTCTAGAAAGAGTACAGAGAAGAGCAACAAAGATGATTAGGGGACTGGAAGCTAAAACATATAAGGAACGGTTGCTAGAATTGGGTATGTCTAGTTTAATGAAGAGAAGGACAAGGAGGGACATGATAGCAGTATTCCAATATCTCAGGGGCTTCCATAAAGAAGAGGGAATTAAGCTATTTTCCAAAGCACCTGAAGGCAGGACAAGAAGCAACGGGTGGAAACTAATCAAGGAGAGAAGCAACCTAGAACTAAGGAGAAACTTCCTGACAGTGAGAACAATTAATCAGTGGAACAGCCTGCCTCCAGAAGCAGTAAATGTTCCAACACTGGAAGTTTTTAAGAAGAGACTGGACAGCCATTTGTCCGAAATGGTGTGGGGTTTCCTGCCTGAGCAGGGGGTTGGACTAGATGACTTCCAAGGTCCCTTCCAACTTTACTACTATTACTATTACTAAGTTGTTAAGTTAGTAACACAGTTGTTAAGTGAATCTGGCTCCCCCACTGACTTTGCTTATCAGAAGGTCACAAAGGGTGATCACATGACCTTGAGAAATTGCAACTGTCATAAATATGAACCAATTGCCAAGCATCCACATTTTGATCGCATGACCATGGGGATGCTGCAAAGGTTGTAAGTGTGAAAATAGCAGTAGCAATGGCACTTAGACTTATATACCACCCCACAGTGCTTTACGTCACTCTCTGAGTGGGTTACAACTCCTCTTTTTACCAATTTCAGAAGAATGGAAGGCTGAGTCAACCTTGAGCCAGTCAGGATCAAGCTCCAGACTGTGGGCAGAGTTGGCCTGCAATATTGCACTCTAACCACTGGTCATAAGTCACTTTTCCACTGCCATTGTAACTTCAAACAATCATTAACGAATGGTTTTAAGGACTACCTATACTGGGATAATGGCAACTATTCCTAGGGCAACATTTTATTCTTTCTTTCTGCATGAGTTAAGTTTTCTCTAATTACACTGAGCCTTTTTTATTCATAACAGGGTATACAGATCATGGGAAATATAAATTAAGAATAGAGAGAATCATATTACTGGAAAATTCTGATCGGAAATGGCTGTGATGATTAAATCATGCCGATATAGCATCATTCTTAAGCCTCTCCAATTTGCTTCTAAACTCAAAATAAAAATGATTTATATTAACTTTTAAAATCATTAATTAGAAGCTTGTCTACCTATGCAGATGCCAAATGCCAGCATGAGATTTTATGCAATGACATGGAGCAAAAATAACAGTAATAATGCTTATTATTCTAAAAATATTTAACATTCTGACCCTGAAAACCTGTTTGACTTCAGTAAAAAGGGCTTCTGTCTCTCAGTGATACTGTGAGCTATGCTTGGAAGCAACTTAGCCACTGGCAGATTCAACCATACCAGGCAAGACAGACCGGATGATGTATAGTCCAAACACAACCACGTTAATGGTGAACACATGAAATAAATAAAGAGGAGGTTTTTGCCTGATCAACAAGGATCAGGCGCTATCAATGCTAAGCAATCAGGGCAGCCTGGGAAAAACATCAAAGCAAATTAAATGGTCATTTTGAAGAACACTGAGCAATCATGAAATGCTGTTTCAAATCAAATCCTGAAATTGAGGAATTTACTATTCCAATTACTATTTGGAAACACAACTAATCACTTTCAGAAACCAATGAACAGAAATTAATGGATCAACAAAGATATCACATTGCAAGTACCATTGGTACAATTAGCTGAGAATATTAATACAGATATTGCGCTACAATGGCAGTTGGGACCAGAATTTCCACTACTAAAAAATGCAGTGATAAAGTGACACATCATGTGACCACATTGCTTAATGATGGCAATTCTCATTGTTGTCATTAAGCAAGAATTATGGGTTGTTAGGTAAGGACCTGATGTGCCCATGACTTGCTGCACAAAGTGAATGGGGAAGCCGGCAGGAAGTCGAAAGTCCCACATTTGCAAGCAGTGCTAGCAAAGCAAGTGCTGTGGAGCTTTGGTGATGGATGCAGCAGGATCTTTGGGGAAAAGCTGGGGGGAGTCATTTATGGGAAAAATATGGATCTTCCCTGCTGTTTTCTCTGTTGACTTTGTTTGTGGGAAAATAGCAAGGAAGGCTGCAAATGGAGATCACACTGGACACTACAACCAGCATAAATATGGGTTAGTTGCAAGTATCCGAATCACAATCACATAACCATGGGAGTGCTATGATGGCTGGAACTTTAAGGACCAGTTGTAAGTATCTCTTGTTCGGCACCGTTGTAAGTTTGAGTAAGTGGTTATTATTTGTAGTATTGTTAGCTTTCCCAAATAGATCACACTGGAAACACGGTCAGATAGGCATGCAGTACTTTATTGTAAAGCTATGTTAACAGAATCTTACAAGAAAGTATAAATTTCCAGGCTTCTGGTTTGGAATTGTGGCACCAGCGGACGTGTGAGGTGATTGCTGTCTCTGCTGTCCGGTTTTCTCCCACTGAGGGACCCTGAAAAGGGTCGAAAGTCATCCTGGAGGGGTGACGAGTGTGAAGAGGACCCCCGACTGATCGCGGAAGGGTGACAGCCCTCCCGTTTGATCTGGGGAAGCTCTTCTAACTGACGGGGAAAAGATTGGCCATTCACATGGCCCATCACTTATGCCGTTTCCAGCCAAAGCCAAAATCACTATCAAGCACCGCAGAGGATCTGGGTGAGATTCTACCTTCTTTGTATCCCAAGTGCTTGCCTGTAAAAAGCTTCTTGAAACTTCTTCCCTTGTGAGGAGAGAGGGAACATTTTTTCCTTTCCCAACCTCTAAAATGGTGGCATCTGATTATGCAGGGAAAATAAAGCCCCGAAGAGACCAACTAAGTAATTAGACTTGCATCTTTCTGATATATGGCAACCCAAAAAGAAGCGGAAGAAATTAATACCAAGATAGAGGACCTTGAAGAATAGCAACTACAATATATTGAAAATGCTTACAACTAAACCCTGACTGTAACTAAAGAACCTACAACCCAAAAAGTAACGGAAACAGAAGAAAGCAATACCAAGATAGAGGGTATTAAAGATCAACAAGGACAGTATATTGAAAACTTAGATAACCAAACAATAACTACAAAACCGGACATGACCTTTTACTTAAACCAGAAGAAACCTGAGGAAGAAGACCAGACCAAATTGAAGATAAAGATACTAGAGCAAATACGGAGAGCTGACCCACCAGGACAACAATTTAATGATTATACCAGCTCCTCTGGAAAATTGATGACTAGATGGTCTCCTTTAATTCAAGCAACACGTGCAAGAATGAAGGGAGACCTATCTGATGATCTAAAGGCATTGGCATGGAAGCCTGGCTGATACAAAAAGAAAGCTAGAGTTAGATTTAAAAAATGGGATCTTCTGATTTATTAGAGAGGATTTTAAAGTCTTAATGGACTAAAGGGAGATTTTGAGATGAAGAGAAATATGATTATTAGAAAATGATAAAAAAAAATAAAGTATAAATTTCCCACCATCTCCTTTACAGTCTGAGAAACTAGGCAGGCTCACTTTTAAGCCTCTTTTTTCTCCCTATTATGCAGCTATTCCCTCTTATCTGGTCATCCTGAAGACAGAAGGGAAAGGGGGGACATGTTTGAAACCTTTAAATATATTAAGGGTGTGAATAAGGTTCTAAAAGGCAGTATTTTCAATATTAAACAAAAATTAAGAACATAGGGGCATAATCTCAAACTGACAGGAAGGAACTTCAAAAGTAATGTTAGAAAGTATTACTTCACAAAAGGAGTAGTGGAAGCTTGAAACCAACTTCCAATGCAGGGTAGTGGGTCAGTCATTAGTAACTGAGTTTAAATATGCTTGGAATAAACACATCCACCAAAAATGAAAAATTAAAATAAAAAAAATCAAAGGACAGACTCAGTGAACCCCTAGGTCTTTTTTTTTGCCATCCTAGCCTTCCTGTGTTTGCAGGCCTTTGCATCCTATGCTAGTGTGCACACTGTATCTTCTGTCTCCAGCCTCCCTGTGCTGGTGCTGCACTGCAACATCACCACTCCCTATCATCAACTCAAGGATGGTACCCTTGTACTCCTTAGCTGGGACTCCTGCCATTTCCTAGTTAACTACCTTTGTATCTTGGGTTATAATGACAGCATTGTATGGCCATCACTAAGTAATGCAGCCACATGACATTATGTTTTATAACCACACTACTTAGTGACTGCAATCTTGGTCCCAGTTGCTGTCGTAACTTGAGGACTACCTGTATTATTAATGTCAGAAGTCAGTAAAATGTGATGATGCTCAAAAAAATTGATCATTTGGTGACCTTGGGCTTCATTTCTAGTTGATGTCAATATTTGTACTGGTATGTGAGAAAGACACTGAGAAATGGGACGAATAAATGCTGCCCAGGGAATGACAGAAACATAGATTTTTACACCTCTCTTCTAGGTCACATATTGATCTACTTAGTATATAGGATTTGTATTCTCATACTGCCCTTGCTGCTATTGCTGTGTTTTTATTTACTTATTTAGAAAATTTATATTGCTGCCTGCTCGCACATGGCAAGTCAAGGCTTACAAGACATAAAAGCACAATATAAAAGAAATAAAAATAATAAAATAATAACCCCCTACTCCACTGTTGAAATTATTGCTTCCTCCTGCTCCTCCTCTTATTTTTTTCTCCTTCCTAGGTAATATTAAAATATTCTTCTTGTAATCAGGTAGTAACTGTTTTTCAACAATATTAAATATTAATTTTTTCAGGAAACTTGGATTTGACTGGTCAAAAGCAAGTCTTCAAAGCAGAAAATAATCCGTGGGTTACTCCTATTGCAGATCAGTTCCAACTGGGTGTTTCTCACGTGTTTGAATATATTCGTTCAGAAACATATAAATAGTGAGTATTGCATTTTTGCATATGTTTTGTTCCATGGTTCCTTGCTCTGATATTTATTAGGACATTTTGTTGTATTATTCATCTCCTCATAAACCAAAGGGTCAACATTTCCCTGAATTTAAATTATTTTCCCCATTCTAATGTCTTCAAGATATAGTGTTACATTTCTCATCATTTCAAGCCACCATAATTTTTGTTTTTAAGTTTTTGTTTCCCATAATTTGTGATTGTGGCAATACAGGAGTTCCCCCCCCCCATATACATATAGTATTTATTCCTTCCAGTCTGCATCTTGTCTAAACAATTGCAGCTTATTTCAGTTAAACCCTTGATGTGATTTAACAAAACTTTAAAAGTTTTATAAATAGATTCTGCCTGAAGAAAAAAAATTAGAATTGTTGCATGTTATATCAGTAAAGATATTCCTTAAGTAAATATTAAATAAATGTAATAATATTATCTATATACTGCTGAAATAATTATTGTTTGTAACCTTCACTTGGGTAAAATTGGAAGATATGGGGCAACAATTTTTGAACCAAGGTAAATCAAATAGAATAACTTATAGAATGCTAAAATCCATGATTCCCATAGGAATGAAATTTTTAGCAAGTCATGGGCATTTCAGCACCATCATGTTTGCAACTACACTTCCCAGAAATTCATGGGTTGTGTTGCTCAAGGGAAGATGCTCATCGTCTTCCCACTTCTGCTGTCCTTTGCAACCAAAAGAAGGGCAACAAATTTTGACAGATGAGCAACCATTGTCTTTGGAATTGAGACTGAAAATTTAAATCTCTTAATGTAGCTGAGCACTGAGGGAAATAAGAGGAATCAACTCAAATGCCTGCCCATGAAGTAGGACTGGCTGGGGGTTGACCGGTAAGCCCTCTTCCTCTCTGGATTGAAGGGGCCTTGAGGTCATGCTGGGATGGAAATTGGGTACAGTTTTCCTTGGAATCCATAGTTCCCTTTCTTCCTTTGACTCCAGGAAAGTGGCAGGCAGTTCCTATGCTCTTAGCAAAGTGACAGCCAAGAAGGAAAAGGAATGATGCTCCCTGCCAGCTTTCCACAAGCATCATCAATGAGAAAGCCAGTAAGAAGTTGAAAGTTGCTTCTGTTCCTGCTGCTTTTTTGTCTTCATTTACAACATTCCATCAGTTTCCCAGCCATTCTCATAATCACTTACTTATCTTCCTGCTTGGAAGGGGAGGGGAGGGGGGAAGGAAGGAAGGAAGGAAATAAATTTCTGCTCCCCGCCAGAGTCCCCTAAGGAAACACAATAGGAAGCTGGGAGGAAGTTAAAAGTTGCTACTGCTCTCACTGCCTTTTTGCCCTCTTTTGGCCATTCTTTTTTCCTGTTTAGGTAAAGGAATATCTCTGAAATCATAACCAGAAGGGCACAAGTTGTCTAGTATCTTTTAAAGTTAAGGTCATGGTTTCGTATTCTGTTCCTGTTGTCTATGAAAGTGCATTTGAAAACAAATGATCATATGACATAAATTGTTTAGATAAAATTTAAAATATGTTCCTTTATATGGCAAACGGAGTTCACATTTGTGATGGTGCTCCTGAAATTTCTTGATCAATCATGTGAGACATTACATGTCAACTTTTTCCATTGGATGGAAGTCATTTTTTAGTCTTAGTGACTACATAGATATATTTTCTCCATGATTTGCTTAACTTTCACTTAGAATTTATTGAGAATTATTCTTTGTTCATTGGTATAGGGTAACATAAAAATGACTTGGGATTATCAGAAGGAAAAAGGAAGAAAATTCTGGGAGTAGTGAGCAGTGCAAGAGTTGAAATATATTTTGCTTGTGGGTAAGGTACATTAATGGCATGGTGGGAGAAGATTATTTCCTGAATATTCTGAAATGAAAATTCAAGTGGAATATATAAGGAACGTTCCAAGTCTGCAGTTTATAGACACAATCCAGAACAGACCTAATCCAGCTGTGGAATATATTTCCTGATTACATTTGAAGGAACAGTACTAGCCCTCCAGTTAATGATGTTAGTGGAATAAATATGCCTCCACACTGGTATAAACAAATTTTATCAGTAAAGCTTAATTATGTTCTCAGAACACTGTTTAGATGTGAATCTATGCCACCAAAGTTACCTTTTTCTGAGGGAGTAGAATATTTGGGTACTATCAGCCTGGATCAAAACATCTCCTACTTCCTGTCATCAATTCTGTCTTCCCCGGTATCCACCTTTTTAGCCAAGTAGGTTTATGTGAGATCTATACCTACTAGTTATTGAGTATCTCACTGATTATTGATAATTTGTACAGATAAAACAGATTCACAAGTTGTCCTAGAATGTTGTTTATTTGACACATATTACAAAAACAGAAGACATTTGAGATATCAGCTTTGTGTTTGGAAGTACCATAGCTAAGAAAAGGAATTAAACTGCATAAATTATTGAAATAAGCCTTTACCTTCTGGTTCATGATGCATTTTCAATGAGGCCTTCAGTAGTGAATGAATTTCCCTCCCATGGATTAAAGTATATGTCAATTGCAACCGCCATATGTTAGGAATTATGATGAAACCATTAAAAAAATGTCTGGCTGTGTTAAATGAGACGTAAATCCAGTAATATTGCAGTGAGCCATTGTCTTAACATACAAGAAGTTGTAATTAGCCAGAGAACATAATGGATCTTTAATGGATGAGAATTTTTGATGCAATGTACTTTTTAAAGATGTTCTTTTAAAGATGTCCATGTTAGGTTCTCTTTCAGGTAGTTTCAGGATCAGAAATTTTGGGACAGAAATAACTCTAAGCTGTTTGTATGTGCAGCAGAGGTTTTTTGGTAACAAATAATACTTAGGGAACCTTGATTGTATTAAAAAGGAAATTGTTGAGGAAGATTATACATGAAAACAAGAAAAGGGTACTTTTGATAGTTGTCCTTATAATAAAATAAACACCTAATAAATAATAATTCTGGACTAACTTTGGTTTGAAATTCCAAAGCTAATATGAGAATATATTCCATTAAACTATGATACTTTTTGTAGCACACCACATTGTGTTAAAGCAGTCTTTTTCCTTTGAAACCACAAACTATAATATATTTCTTTTATGCTTTTGTTGACTTGGTTTTGTATTTAGTTCCCTAGAGGTAAGAGACATTATTTAATATTCCATATAATCCAACATTATTTTTACTTGCTTATTCCTTTCAATTGCATTTTGAAAAGATTAGCAAGCTGATAAACTGAAAAGACACAGAAAAGAAGTATAAGGGAAAAGATACAGAGAAAAGAGATGCATTCTTTAAATCCATAACAAAATGGATGATTGGCTTTTAATATCTTGATGCCTTCCCCAAAATGTACTCAAAAGATGTGGTTGGGAAAGCTGAGAGTTATATTCTGGTGCATCTAGAGGGCTCCACATTAGGAAAAAATAACTCCTAGGATGACTATATCTAATTTAAGCTTATTCCTCCCTCAGGAGAAAGACCAGAACTTTTTATTTCTTATAAGCCATAATGCTAAAGCCTTTCCTTTGAAGGTAATAATTATATAGTTTATATTGGTGCTCCTAGTCACCTTTCAAAGTAACCTTTTATATTTGAAGTATAATTCTCAAGAGATCGTGTATGTCAAAGATAGTGACAAAGACATGATGAATAGTAGACTTTATTGGTTATAATGTACTCAGCAAGTGCATATAGACATAAATGTTTAAAACAAAACAGAAAATCAAATTCCTTTGAATAATTGCAGTCCTGAAACACTATTCAAAATTGGAATAATGGAATTAGTAATTTGATGGTAAGCTTTTAATGTGATAAGAAAGAAGGGATATTAAGGATTGGCCTTAGTGGCTAGACCTCATGAAGCAAGAGGACATTTTCCAAATATGATATGCATATTAATTATATTGCAACCAAGAGCTCTTTTTTTCTGAACAACATATTATTTCAGTGATCTCATTTATGGTCCTGATTTTGAAGTCACTGACTGATTATTTCATCTCAGCTAGAGATTTTATTACAGTGGTTGCAGTGTTTTTCACTCTTTGCTTTTTTCTGTGTAACTGTTATACTAAACATACAGTTTTTTTCACACTTGCTTTGAGAGGTGCTGTTTCCTTCAGTGACCTTGTCTTTTCACTTCATGCAGTTCTTAAGAAGTGTTTTACTTCATTACCATTGTGGAATTAACTTCTAGAATTAACCTTACGAACCAGAGTAATTCAGTACCATGTCTGAAAAATAGTCAGTCCTCGAGCAACCTCAGAAGGTCCTTTGTATCTATAGTCCAACACTGCAGTAGTTGAATTATCTTCTCAGCTTCTTTGTGTGATGCCAGATAATATTAATATGACAAATGAATTTTAATATTTAATAAGTGAAAGGGGACTTTCCACATAGGAAATAGGACAAGATGAGCTAATTCTACTTTATTGTAAGGCTATATTACCAGAATCTTGTAAATTTGAATGTAAAAAAATCTTTCCTTTTGGAGACCAAATTACTTAGGATCAGAATTTCAGAAAATAAGTGGTTTTAAAAATGGTTATATGTTACCTTTGATTCATCTCTTGTATATAGTCTTCTTTTGTTTTCATCCAAATAAGAAAATTCTAAAATGTTGGGATAGAAATATACTGGCTTGTTCTTTCACTTGGATGCTTCTAGGGGCTATATATCACTGCCAAATGTTGTTTCAGAAATAGAGTCTGTTTTATAAAAAGTCAGTGCTGAACTCCAGAAGGAATTATTTAGTGATATCTAAAAAACTTGAGGGAACCCAAATTTTTTAGAACACATTTAATATTTAACGCCCTATTGAAGTTACATACTGCTATATTTCCCTTTAGATTATTCAGAATGATTAGTACAGGGATCATCTATAAACAGTTCTATAATACAGGGACCATATGTAAACAGTTCTATATTATAAAGAAGAAAAATTAATGATAATATCTGCAGTAACTGTTTTCTCCCAAGAAAAGTCTCCTTGGTGA